TACAGGACTATTAAAGGGGTGAGTCAGCTAGCTAGCCAGCCATGGACGTTAGTATGCTTTTAGGATAATTTTAAGAACAATGAAACTGTTTAAACAGTAGCAAGTATGCTTGGTAAAGAATCTGAAGTGGGGCGAAACCGGTTTGGCTCAGTGGATAGAGCGTCGGCCTGCAGACTGGCGGGTCCCAGGTTCGATTCCGGTCAAGGGCATGTACCGTGGTTGTGGGCACATCCCCAGTGGGGGGTGTGCAGGAGGCAGCTGATCGATGTTTCTAACTATCTCTCTCCCTTCCTCTCTGTAAAAAATCAATAAAATATATTAAAAAAAAAAAAAAGAATCTGAAGTGGGAAACCAGTCATGTAACCAAAGCTACTGTCTGATTGTGAAGGTTGGCAGGGATGATTTTGAGGAACATGACTTAGGCCTGCTGGACGGGGTTCTGGTTAACTTATGCAGAAAGGAAATACATGCCAGCATTGATGGGCATATTCCCTTACTCTGTTCATTCCCAAATATGAAGTAGATATTTTGTTAATCCTCACACTTTTCCCATTGATTTTTAGAGTGGAAGCGAGAGGGGGAGACAGAAACACTGATGTGAGATACATCCACTGGGGCCTGGGATCAAGCCTGCAACCAAGGTACTGCCCTTGACCAGAATCGAACCCAGGACTCTTCAGTTTGAGCCAAAACAGCTAGGGAAAAGATCCAAGTTTTCAGAGCTTTACATTATTGTCCAGAGAACTAAAAGATGGGTGGAACTGGACGGTTTTATTCAATATGAAAACGTTAGCACTTGTACATATGTGGGACTTCTATCAGATCATTCTTTCCAAAGGTTTTCGCTCTATTAGATTTTTACTATATTGAAAGATGTTTTTAAAAGCCAGCCACCCCTAGGCCATATTAACATGAGTCTTGCTGTAGTTATAATTTGCAATTGTATTTAGTTTGGATAACTGTATATTTGTCCCAATTAAAAATATTTCGAGAGAAGTAAACACCAATTTGTTATTCCAGTTATTTATGCATTCATTGGTTGGTTCTTGGATGCGGGCAGAATTGAACCTGCAACCTGGCACATTAGGATGCTCTAACCAACTGAACTATCCAGCCAGGGCATTTAATATCCCAGTTTGCCAATTAATTTTCAGTTTTTCTACATGCTGTGCTTTCCTTTATGACCTACTTACCTGACACAGGGTCTCCCCATGGGATTGCTGTGCAGAGTAACATTTGTATTAGCAGTGCTGACCCTTAGCTGGTGAAAGTTACTTAGCATGTGGTGTGGATCAGTCATCTTTGAGAAGCATTCCTGTGCTTCACATGTGGATACTGCAAAATTTAACTCATTCTTTTCCTCATTGTGCCTTCCCCCTTTCTCAAACTCCCAAATTGTTTACCAAACACTTTCTGTGTACACCAAATGCATCTTATTTTGGAGAGTAGGACTAAGCAAGTCCCGCTTTTCCAACAACTTCTGAATCTCACTAATGGAGACAGTCAGGGTAAGAACAGAATGTTCCAAGTGCCTCATACATCATAGGTGCTCTGAATATACGATGTCTCACAAATCCAAGTCCTATGGTGCCTTGGCATTTTTAAGTGAGTCTAGACCTGGCCTGTGTGGTTCGGTCATCCAGTGCACTGAATTCCCCATCAGGGCACATGTGGGAAGCCGCCAACCTATTCCCACTTTAGGTAATTGTTCAGTCTTACCCCTCACCCTGACAAGCTACATTTGTTAACTGCCAGGAGTGTGCTTGGGAATTAGCAAAGAAACTTTCATTCATGTGCAGGGAACAAATCCTGTAAATCATAATCCTTACTCCCCACATGTAGTTCTCAATGCTGCAATATTAGATGCATTCTTTGTACAGTGTCTAGCTTGTGTCATAGCAGAAAAGTTTGAAAGCCAGCATTATAGAAAAGAGATCATCTTTATACAGGCACATCCCCAGACAATCAGCAAGCCCAACAGCAACAGAGGTCAGCTTTTATTGGCCATGTTACAAAAGAGCCAGTTTAGTCAAAAAGACCAAAGCCCATGTCATCATCAGACTCCTCAGACTCTTCTTTCTTTGCTTCCACTTTCTTCTCCTCAGCTTAAAAGGGGAGAGAGAAAAAAAAGGTAAATTACACAACCTTTATTTTGAACTCCAAAGAGCTATAGGCCCTTCAACTTACATGCTCAAAATACCCCAGACTTCCCTCATCAAACTATGTTTCTGGTTTTAGGATTGCTAGACATCTACTTTGTAAATTAAGGGCAATTTTGCCTCTAATTAGTTTCCTACCTGGGGCAGCAGCGGTGGAGGGGGCAGGACCTCCTGCTGGTGCAGCACTAGCTGCAGGGGCAGGTCCACCAGCCCCTACATTGCAGATGAGACTCCCAATGTTGACGTTGGCTAGAGCCTGCAACACAAGTGCATACAGAGGTTAAGCGCTCAGTTCTGTTCCTGTTATAATACTCCCCCAGGAAAAAAAAGTACCACCCCTTTGAACTTACAGTGACCTACCCCCACCAGTATAATAAAAGCTTAATATGCTAATTAGACTGGGAAGCCCGGGTGGGGAGGTGCCGCAGCTGGGGGAAGGCTTACTCTTGCATGAATTCCATGCATCAGCTTCTAGTATAAAAATATATAAATTTCTCTTCCTTCTCCTTTGCTGGAGTCTGCCAGTGACAGCTTGTCTGCTACTCAGATTCCCTAAAACTTAACAACCCACACAGCTATACTAAAAATAAGCAATCACAAAAAATTTCAAGCTGTAAATCTCATAGCTGCATTGCTATGTTTTAAGTAGTACGGTACAGCTGAATTCCTTTTATAGATGAGAAAATTGGCCCCAAAATGCTGGTTTAACTTGTTAACACTCAAGCTTCCTTAAGTCAGGGTTTTTCCCAGTTCCACATCTCCTCTTAACAGTGAATTCTATTTTTCAGACGGCTAAGTAATTCTGGGAAATGTATTGAAGATGATAGAGGTACAATGTTTTCAATCTTTCAAAGCTCTTTGCAGGACACAGGTGAATAGTTAGCATCCACAAGCTTCACTTGCTAGAGATTCAGTAACTTGTAGAATGGAAGGCAGCCAGTGCCAAATTCCTTGGGTAGGGGTCTTGTCTTTTATCTCCTAACACACAGTAAACGGACATTAAAAAGCCACACCCAATTTCCATTAAAGCATGCTATCATACTAGAAGGATTTGCTTGTAATAGCATGGGAGTTATCTTCTGGGTGGCCTTTTAAAGGGATCACCTGGTTAATTCTTTTACCATGGTTTCTAAGCAGAAGAGAAACAATCTGAGATCAAGAAAGACACAATAGAAATAAGGAAATATCACTTAAGAGTTATTTATTTTTTTGGATATTGGCATGAACACCTTCTTTAGTAATCAGTAGGTCTTCCCAAAGTTACCTCTCCAAATCAGGTTGCCGCCATCACCTTACCTTTGCAAACAAGCCTGGCCAGAAAGGCTCAACGTTCACACCGGCTGCTTTAATGAGGGCGTTGATCTTATCCTCCTGAAACAGACAAAATGACAACCCATCAGAGACCAAACCGTAGCTTTCTGAAATGTCTCCAAAAGGTTGAAAAGAAATCATTCAAAACGTGTGTACCTAGCCATGTTTATCCAGTTTCACTATTTTACCTGCATCGTATGTTTAAGACGACCCTTTCTTACACTCTTTTGGCCGTCACGGTAACAGAAAAGCCATCTGGTCCCGTGTGGCAAGTTCATCGCTGCCATTTCACGGGCTGGGAATGTGCCTAAGTCTCGCTATTTTAAGTTATGAGTAAAGGCTGGGAGGTGGGGCAGAGCTCACGCGTTCTCCTCCACACCATACAGGGCCTACTAGGAGAACCGAAAGAATTCAAAATGATATATAACAGGCTGCGGATCAGGATGCTCACGCGCTGCCCATGTTTCTCCAAATACAAGTTCTCACGGCCAGAGCGCGCAGTCGCACATGTAATCCAGCCCCGACCGCACCCGGCACGTGGCCGAGGCCCCAGGCCAACTCGCACGTGGGGCCACCTGACGGGCGCCGGCCCAAAGCCGCCCAGTGGGCGTCCAAGGCCCCGACTACGGCCGGAAGGGCCGGACAGGAGGCCTGGGAAGGCGGGGAAGTCTGCCGCCCGCGGGCCGCCCCTGCCGTGGGCCCGGGCCCGGGCCCGCACTCCCCGTCACCGTCACCTCATCGTCGTGCAGGATCAGGGGATGGTAGATGCAGGCGAGCTCCGAGACCGAGGCCATGGCGAGGGCGAGTGCAGGGCGAGCGCTGCCGGGAGCGGTGCTAGTCGCCGGATGAAGTGAGGGCCTCACCCCAACGCGGCCTTAGCTCCCTCGGAAGAACCGAGCACCTTACCGGCAGCGGGGGAAAGGGGGCGGCGCGCCTGCGCGCGGGGACTTATGCAGGCCACGCGGACCAATCCGCGCCCGCGCCTGGCGGAAGAGGCGGGGCTGAGGCCGCCCGGGACGACCCACTGGAGACGCCTGCGCAGAAGGCGTGACCCGAGTTCAAGAAGTGGCTAGGAACCCGTAAGTGCCGAGTAACTCCACTGGTTTGGCGAAGCTCAGGGCTCGTGGACAGTAGTCATATTTTTAGGAAAAGGTTACCTAGGTAAGGGGACGTTACCCTAAGCACTGTTGCTCCTGTGACACTGCTTAGAGAACTATTTAATGACGTCCCAGCCACCCCCCATCTCACCCGCCCCGCACCACCATCACCTGGAGGCGGCGCTACTTTACCGCCTTTAGCCCCAGGGTCTTAGCGCAGCGTCTCTGGTAAGATAAGCGAACAAGCGAACGGAGGAGGAAATGGGAAGTTTGCAGGTTTACGATAGCAGGTGGCGTTTGTGCGCCTGCTATGCCCCAAACACTGAGCCACATGCCACAACAGTGGTTCTCAACCTTGGCTGCCCATCAGAATCACCTGGGAATCTTTTTAAAATCCTGATTTCTGGGCCTCATCCTCCGGAAATTCTGTTTCTTTGTGACTAATGTTGTGGTCCCACCCCATAAGAAAGAAATAGAATTTCCGAAGGATGGGGCCCAGAAATCAGGATTTTAAAAAGATTCCCAGGTTATTCTAATGTGCAGCCAAGGTTGAGAACCACTGTGCTACAAGGTTTCATTTAATGTTCACATGTTACAGCCTAAGAGGTAAGTGCTGTTATCGCCATTAACTATGAACTAAGGCGTAGACCCCGTAACTTGTCTAAGATGACAGCGTGTGGTGGAGCCTGGATCTGGAACCTGGAATCCCAATGTAAGCGCCTTCTTGTGAGTGCGGAGAGGGATGGTTTTGGGGATTATAAGTAAATTTTGTCTTCCTTCAATTTTTATAACTAAGGCACCCGGTGATTGGGTGGAAATGCCTTGAAACCGCCTAAAGATCTTGCTGCAACTGCTGCTTGGTTCGGTGCTGTATTGCACTTTTTGTCCTTTGAAGCTAATAAAACTTCTTTTGGTTTATATTGAGGGTATTAAAACATTTCTTATGGTGGTACAATTGACATATAACAGTATATTCGTTTAATGCATACAACATAATGATTCAACATTTGTATATATTGTGAAATGATCACAATAAATTCTGTTAACTTCATCACCACACATAGTTATTATTTTTTTCTTTCTTTTTAAAGAATCAATACAGTGCTCGCTTCCGCAGCACATATACTAAAATTGGAAACATACAGAGAAGATTAGCATGGCCCCTGCGCAAGGATGACACGCAAATTCATGAAGCGTTCCATTAGAGGTCTTTTATTTTATTTACACCTATCATGCCATGGATTCATAGGGAATGGGTTCCAGCAGCTCGGGCTCCTTTCCATTGCTTCTCGCACCCGTGCTCCTCTGAGTGGAGCAGGCAGGTGCTTCTGTGGAACCCAGGAACCTTTCTCTGTGGCTTCCTTTTTTTTCCTGATCATTTTCCTTCACCCGGTTCAGAAAGCTATCTCAGCTCTTAGAACGCTTAATATGCTCAATACGTACATTAATTTTCTTGGCAAGAATCTTGCCCTTACACGGACAACAATGTGGTGCTTGCTGGAGGGGGTAGGGAGGGTGGAGGCGGGTATAGCAGGGATAAGTGGTGATGGACAAGACTTGACTTGGGTTGGTTAACACAAAATACAGTGTACAGATGGTGTGTTGTAAAATTTTGTGCCTGAAACCTGTATACTTTTAACCAGTGTCACCCCAATAAATTAAATTTAAAAGGGGAAAAAAAAAGAATCTGGCCTTTAACTTGTTCACAATAATGCCTACTGCATGCTGGGTGGCACTGTAGACTCTTCCAGTTTTGCCACGGCAACATTTGTGGGGATTTGCTTTTGGAAGAGTGCCTATTCCCTCGATGTCTACAATATCACCTTTCTTATAGATACGCATGTATGTGGCCAGAGAAACAGCTCCATGTCCTCTAAAAGGCCTAGGCAGGTGCCTCTCCTCCCGCCCTTTGTGTTAGTCATTTTGGTGAATTACTGGAAGATCATGGTTCCTGCCCAAAAGAAGCAATTTCTTTTCTTGCTTTGGTGAGGACTTAAGGTCTGTTCTTTGCAACTACTTTTAAGTATTGTCAGCTATAGCCGCCATGTACATTATATGCCCAGGATTTATTTATTTTTATACCTGGAAGTTTGTACCGTTTGACTCCTTCACCTATTTCACGACCCCTTCACCTATTTCACGACCCCTACCCCACACCCCTTTTTTTTCTACTCTGCATCCCCCTTCCTATCTCCACCCTCACACCCCAAACTCCTGCAGCCCCACCAATTTGTTCTCTGTATTTATGAGCTTCTTTCTTTTTTATTTTTTTTGTTTCTTTTAGATTCCATGTATAAGTGAGATCTTATGCTATTTATAGTATTCCTCTTTCTTTGTCTGACTTATTTCACCCAGCATAATGCCTTCAGGGTCCATTCATGTTGTCTCCAATGGCAAGATTTTATTATTTTTTATGGCTGAATAACATTTCATTGTATATAGAGCACTTATACATATAGTGATCCATCCATTTATGGTGGACACTTAGGTTGTTTCCAGGCCTTGGCTGTTGTAAATAATGCTGCAATGAACATTTTTTTTCAAATTATTGTTCTTATTTTCTTCAGATAAATGTTCACAAGTGGAATTGCTGGATCATACTTAAAAACAATATCCTCCATAATAAAAGGCTAATATGCAAATTGTCCTCTTGGGAGTTCAACCAAGAGTTCAACTGCTCTGACCACGGACATATGCCCTGACCAGGAATTGAACCATGACTTCCTGGTTCATAGGTTGACGCTTAACCCTGCGCTATGCCAGCTGGGCCTTTTTGCATTGAGAAAGTAAGGTGTTCTATTAGCTTTTTAGACTTGTCTGTTCAATTTATTCCCCAGGTTTGGGATGTTCTCAGCTATTATTTTTCTAAGTACACTCTGCTCCCTTCTCCCTCTCTTCTCCTTCTGGACCAGTTATTCTTATATTTGTTTCTCTCATCATTATCATAGAGCTCTTGTAAGGTTCATTTTCTAAAAATCTTAGTTTGCTCTCCTTTCCTGAGTCATTTCTAAATTCCTATCCTCCAAGTCAGAATGCTTTTTTAAAAATCTGATCTGCCCCTTTCCCTAAGCTCTCTAATACATTCTTCATTTCATTCATTCACTTTAGCTCCAGAATTTGTCTGCTTTTCCCTCCTTTTATTGAATTTATTGGGGTAACACTGGTTAAGAAAATTCTACAGGCCTCAGTGGCACAATTCTAGAACATATAATCTGTACACTGAATTGTGTGTTCACCGCCCTGTCTGCTTCTTTTTAAAAATTTCAGTCTTAGGCACAGAATGCCTTTTGTTCAATAATTTTATTCCTAAATTCTTTGGAATCCCTTTCTGACTTTTCTAGTAGCTCATTGAATCTCTTCAGCTATTTTGAATTCTTTATCAGTTAGATCATAATATTCTGTTAATTTGGGTTCAGGTGCTGGAGAGTGATCATTTTCATTTTTGCGATACCATATTACCATGATTTTTCCGGGTGTTTGACAACATGTGTCTCTGCTGTTGCATTTGAAATAGCACACATCTTTCTTAGTTGTTCACCTTGTTACAATTCGACTGGAAATTAGGAGCCTTCCTTTTATTTTTCCAGAAGGTGGCGGAATAGCTCAAGTTTCTGGTTCCTCTTTTCCTGAGTTGGCTCTGGGGCTGGCTGCCCTGGGGAAGGAGTATAAAAACGCTGGTGTAGAAAAATCTGGAGTAGAGTTAAGGGAAGTGCAGGGTTAGCATCTGGGGCTTTGTGTTGCCCACAGCCCAGGAGGGGAATCCTCCAGTGGGGGTACTCGGAGAGGTTCCTGCACAGACTCCTGCTAAAAAAACCTGCTGAAACCAAGGTTTTCTTCAGTACACTTTATTATCCTTGTAAACTGCCTTCCCTTTCCTCTCCTTCCACCCAGTCAGGAGATCCCTCCTCAGTTACTCCTGCTACTGAGGAGAAGTGGATACCTCAGTCCCAGCCCCATGGTCAGTTACTCAGTACTTTCTCTTTCTACCTCCTTTGTGAGAAAGGTAGCTGTTGTCACTGCTGGTAAAAGCACAGCTTGTTACCCTGTCACCTGGGGAGGAGGGCTGACTTCTTGAGTTACTCCTCCTCTGCCTCCACACTGATCTCTGTCCCATTTGATGACAGGCCTGGTTCTCCCATGAGGTTGGCTGGATTTCCGCAAATTCTCTATCTCCCTGTGTGTCCACCTGTTTTGCACTCTCCAGTTTCGCTCCCCTCCTAACCCCACTTCACTGCAAGTGGGGGTGGGGCAGGCTTACTGACTCCCTTGGATCCGAAGCCCTCCCCCCCACCCCCCCAAGTCCTGCCCACCTACTTCTGAAGCACGCAAAGGTAGAAATCTCTTGGGTGTCCTGGTGTAATGAGCAAAGACACTTTTGTACAGATATGACTGACCAGTTAGTTGTAAGTAAAAGGGGAGAAAAAATGGGACTCATGCTGCCATGATACTGATGTCACTATTTTTTATATACGGGTTTAAGTTACGTATAGTATCAAGAATTAAAATATTTCATACCTGGAAGCTTCGGTAAGTCACTTGAATTAATTAAAAAAAAAAAAAAGAGGAGGGGCGGGGAATTCCAGGTCAAATACTGTGTTAAGGATTGCCTATGAGCATAGCATACCAGCAGGCTATGAATGTTGACTTGGGGTGAATTCCTGGTTCTTGGCAGGAGAAACACCCCCTTTCAAAGCCATTTCTTTGTGTCCTAAAACAAGTAGCCCCTATGTGAGAGAAACCTCTAGTGTTTTAATACATCCCACTTTTTTGTTGTTAATCCTCACCCAAGGATATTTTTTTTTCTCCATTGATTTTTAGAGAGTGGAAGGAGGGGGAGAGAGAAGCATTGAGGTGAGAGACACATCAATTTGTTGCCTCCTGCGTGTGCCCCAACTGGGGCCGGGGATTGAGGCTGCAAATCGATGTATGTGCTCTTGACTAGAATTGAACCCATGCCCCTTCAGTCTGTGGGCTGACACTAACTAGTCAGCAAATCCAGCTAGGGCTCCATTATTTATTTGTTTATTTAATTGGTTGGGATGACATTGGTCAACATGAACAGTTTTCACGTGTGGATTTGTGTTATGAAATCTGAATATTGCATCATGTGCCTACCACCCAAAGTCAGATTTTCTCCTGTCACCTGTTAGGACCTCCTTTTCCCCTCACCCCCTTCCCTCTGGCAACCCCACACTGCTGTTTGTGTTCATTTCAGTTTTATGTCCCACATGAGTGAAATCATGTGGTTCTTAGCTTTTTCTGTCCGACTTATTTCATTTAGCATAATGTTCTCAAGATCCATCCATGTTGTCGCAAATTCATCCTTTCTTACGACTGAGTAGTATTCCATTGCATATATGTATCACATCTTTACCTAGTCCTCTATCGAATAACACTTTGGTTGTTTCCATGTCTTGGCCACCGTGAATAATGCTGCAATGAACATAGGGGTGTGTATATCTTTGCGAATAAGCGATTTCGAGTTTTTTGGTTATATACCCAGGAGTGGGGTTGCTGGGTCATTTGGCAGCTCAATTCTTAATTTTTTGAGGAATAACCAGACTGCTTTCCATAGTGGCTGTACCATTTTACATTCCTATGAGCAGTGAATGAAGGTTCCTTTTTTGCCACCCTCCACCACTTATCTTGTTGATAATTGCCACTCTAACAGGTGTAAAACTACTCATTGTAGTTTTAATATGCATTTCCCTAATTGCCAGTGAGGTTGAACATCTTATATCTATTGGCTGTCTGTATGTCTTCCTGGGAGAGGTGTATTTTCAGGTCTTCTGTAGGGCTCCTCCCTGCCCCCCTTTTATTTTGGTTATCTTCACCTGAGGACATTTTTAAAAAATATATATTTTTATTGATTTTAGAGAGGAAGTGAGAGGGAGATAGAAACATCAACGAGAACCATTGATTTGCTGCCTCCTGTACACCCGCTACTGGGGATTGAACCCACAACTGGGCATGTGCCCTTGGCTGGAATTGAACCTGGGACCCTTCATTCTGCAGGCTGATGCTCTATCCAGTGAGCCTAACCAGCTGGGGAGGATATTTTCCCATGGATTTTTAGAGTGGAAAGACAGAAATATCGATGTGAGAGAAATACATTGATTGGTTGCCTCCTGGACTCTCCCGACCAGAGCCTGGGCCAGGGAGGAGCCTGCAACCAAGTTATGTGCCCTTGACTGGAATCGAACCCAGAACCCTTCTATCTGCAGGCCCACACTCTATCCACTGAACCAAACGGGCTAGGGCTAGGGCTAGACTTTTAAATCCATTCCACAAATGAGGCCAACTAAATGCAAGGCACAATGGTAGATCCTGGAAATATGTATTATGACTATCACACAACTTTGTATAGTCTTTTTGTTTAAATGTCTTTATTGATTTGAGAGGAAGAGAGAGAGAAACATCAATCGACTGCCTCCTACATGCCTCCCCATCAGAGATTGAGCCTCCAGTCTGGGCATGTGCCCTGACGGGAATTGAGCCAGTAACCCTTTTGGTGCATGGGATGATGCTCAACCAACTCAGTCACACCGGCCTGGGCAGGGCACACAACTTTGCATTTCTTAGTGCTTTCTATTTCAATTCTTTTGGCATATCTAAGTAGCAGAAAGTAAATATGTACATACAAAATAAGTTCTTAAAATGATTTTAGTATTGGCCAGTCACTGCCATTTTTTTAAAAAGGCATTTTCCTTCAAGATTTTTAAGAAAACTTTTTAAAAAAATTGACTCTAGAGAGAGGAAGAGAGAGAAACATTGAGAGGTTGCCTCCCGCATACTCCCTGACCAAGGACTGAATCCACAACCTGGGTATGTACCCTGACTGGGAATCAAACCCACACCTTTTGGTATATGGGATGACGCTTCAACCAACTGAGCCACAATGGCCAGAGCCAGTCACTGATATCTTTATTTTGAAAGTTTGAATTGTCCAATATGTCTAAAGTGCATTTTTGCAGCTAATCAGTAGCAGCATTTGTTTTGTTTATAAAACCTTAAGAAATATTCAGGCAAGAGCTGGAAAAGTCACAATATAAAAGAAAGTGTGATCTATATATCCTCTTCCTTAATCACTCAAGACAAACACTTGCACGAATTAGTTTATGAGTATACAAGAAATATACAAAAAAATATCATTATTAAAAAGGTCCATACGGCAATGAGAAAAGAGGGTCTCTCTCTTTGCTGTTAATATTAAATATGGCAAGGCATATAATATAAAAAGTTTGTTGAATCCTAGATGTCTTTGGGAAATCTTTGATCTAGGCCAGTGCATAATGTATCTGAGGTCTGTGAGAGTCAACAAAGCTGGACTTCTCCCGGCATGGTTTTGGAAAAAATCACCAACACAATGAAAATGTTCTTTCGTTACCGAGACATTAGTTCATGGCTTCTTGCGCCTAAAATGCAAGAACAGCATTTAGTGTTGAATTTTGCTATCAATTTCACATTCAGGGCAGTTTAATCTCTAGGAGAGCTTTAAAATAATTCAACCAAAGGACTTGCATGCATGTATATGAGCATAACCAATGTACAGACTGGGGGGTGAGGGAGGAGGGCATGTGCTGGGGGGTGGGGACAGCTGGGAAGAGGTCAATGGGAGAAAAAGGAGTCTTATGTAATACTTTTAACAATAAAGGATAATAAGAAAAGATAATTCTTGGTTTATCATGGGAAATATTCAAGTCCTGAGAAAGCAAATAACCGTTACCAACTATGCTTATCTAGTATTAAACTTAAAAAACAGGATGTCTTTCCATCTTTATCCTGTTACAGCGATTTTATATATTGCCTAAGGAATACATGTGTTAAATATGAACACTTGGACTTATTTAAGTAGATATTTGAAAAGGAGTTTTACTAATACGGAAAAAGACTGTGATCTGGAATGGTCTTTAGAGATCATCCAAGACTCTTGGATATGTGTTTAATAGAAGAGGGAAAGTATGATTTCTTTCCAAACCTATAAATTTCACCATTGTTTTACTTTAATGAACACTTAATTGCTGTAGCAAGACCAAGAGGCACATTAGGAAAGAATGAATTACAGGAAGAGCTATCATCCCTGACAAAAGCCTTTAACCTCCCCTCCTTATAGGTGATCTCAGTTCAGCCTCTGAAAGCTTTGACCATTGGCAGAATATGAACAAGAGTGAGCCAATCTTCCATCTCCTTCTGTTCTTGCAGCTCTAAGTGCTCTTATCAAGGCCTGCAAGGTCCTCAGCCCTGTTGCTGCCTGCTGCAGTCTGCCAGTAGGGCCCAGGTACGCCAAGGGGTAAGCAAAAGCCACTTATGTCCTCTGAAAAGAAATGGATGGTAGGGAGGAGGGTGGTGTTGGAAAACATACAGGGCCCAATTACCCATACTCACTTGGGTTGTGCATGATGCTGATATCCAGGTCCCAGCTGAGACCCTGCTCTCATCTCTACAGCCACAGAGCACTGATAGGAAAATTACAGGAGAGGTAAAGATCAGTTCCCTCAGAGTCTATAAAACACAATTCTGTTTAGATAGGTTCCATCAAGGTGAAATCCACCTTGCTTTTCTAGTTCAGCACAGGTACCTGTTAAAATACCAGTCAGATACCTGCAGCTTATTTCACATAGGCCACAAAGACTATGATCTGGAATGGTCTTTAGAGATTATCCAAGTAATTTTCCTTGAGAAATTAGTGGCTACAGCTTGCCTGCCCCCCACCTTCCCATATGAGCCTCCTCTTAGGAACAACAGTTCCACAGCGAAGTTCTGCTTCAAAGATTCCCATCCATCTGAAGTGAATTCTTGTTATCCTAGGGCAGTAATTTTCAACCTTTTTCATCTCGTGGCACAGAAGCTAATTACTAAAATTCTGCAGCAATACCAAAAACACCTTTGCCTATCTGACAAAAAAAAAAAGGGTATATATTTTTGATTGATTTACAAAAAAATATATAATAGTAGTAATTATCTACCCTTTTTGCTCCAATGTGACTTTTAAAAAAAATCAGGTGCCTACACATGTATAGGATTTCTGGTACCAAGAATTAACCAAACAGACACAACCTTATTATGCGACATGACCAATAAGTAAGATGCAACTTCAACATTATTATATGACCTATATATTTATGGTTCAAGACAGGGCTGCACTGGCAATGTGAGATCAGACCTCAGCTACTCCAAAGAGCATGAAAAGCTACAGCTATGGGGCTTAAAATATGACACCCCTAATTTTTATTAAGCAGACAAGTATTTAAGTTTTACCCCTACCCTGGTTTCTACATCGGTCCATTCAGACTCTGCACCATCTGGTTGGGCAGGTGCTACTGTGGAAGATCTTCGTTTTCGACTGGAGAAAGGGGAAACATGATGCAACAATTATTTCTGTTGTATATCTAACAACACAAAACATTAGAAATAGGGGAAATATCACTACAGTTCTTCAGAGAACAAGAACAGAATACACTTTTACAGGCTAGTCTGTTCCTAGAGAATGAGCAGCTAAGAAAACGACAGTCCTCTAAGGGACACATTTGATGCTAACTCACCCAGTCGGTGATTCTTGTTTCAAAGTCTCAATATCAGTAAACTGAACAGCTTGTCCACCACCCCTTGTTTTATAAACATCACCCTAGAGCCAAGAAAAAAGGTCATCATTACACTTTCATACACCCAAGTGATAAGCATACAGATATATTTTAAATTGATACTGCAATCACAAAACCAGATGGTGCTTGGGACTGCTGGGCCTGTACATTAAAATACTTCAGAAATTTGAGTACATCTCTCTCACTAAACAAGAGGTCCAATGCGATATAATCAGTAACATTCTTAATTGCAGAAAATAGTATTCCTTTTCATTCAACTTATAAAAACTATGCTTAGAATCAAGAAATTTCTGAATGTTCTAAGGCATTATACTTTCCTTTCTGGGTGTGCCATCCCCTTCATATTCAAATAACTGTCTTATTTGAAACTATAATAAGAGCCATCCTCTAAATTGAATTTGAAATTTAAAACTTTTTTTTCATCTTCCCTGATAATTCATTGACTCTACATTCAGGGGGAAATTCTTCTATAGACAGACAAGAAAGGGCTTTGGGTAGCTCAATACTAAGTAATTTTGATAGGTCAAATTTTAATGTGGGCTTTTTATCTTGAACTGACAGGAAGCAAAGGTAGTTCTTTGTTTAGGTTTACTTTTCAAGTAGGGGTTAAAACAAAATACACATTAATTAAAAATACATAATAAATCTGGCATTCCTCCTAACAAACCTGAGAATCTAAACTTCATTAAACAGAAAGCAAATTTAGTCCTGGTTTAACAGATTCAAACCCTAAGCAGTTACTTTAGTTTTGTAACAAAGAGATTATATCATATACCCATTTATGTCCCAGTGGACAGACACTGCCTTTGTTTCATTTCGAAGGAATGGAAGGACAAATGGATTTTTGTTGACTTTTTTCTCCTGTACAAATTTGTTTTTACCTTAATTAGTTTAGTTTCAATCTCTCCATCGGAGGCTAGTTCTTGGTGGGTCAGCATGTACTTCTCACACTTAGCTAGTGCCTTTTCATTTGCAACAGACACTGTGATGGCATGAGGGACATGTGGCTGCATGACTGTTGCAGTTTGCACGTTAGAGGCAGGCTTATGATCTACCCATCTGTCTCCTGCAGAGCGTGATCGTCTGTGTCGGAGACGAAGTGGTGGTGCGTTCTGATCAAGTTGAAAGGAATCAAGAAACAAGCATAACCCAGAATTAATTTAAGGGTATTATTAGAAGTGCAGCAGGTTTGGCTACATTAGTTGCTGACAATATAAAACAAATGCATGAACTTTTTCAAAAGCTAAATATGTCATTCAAATGCTTTAAATGTCCTCTTTGAATTTAAACACAAAACCAACAAGCATCTTTTAACACCAGCTTGTATATTATACATTCTACCAGGAACTTCCCTTTCAACAAAGAACAGAAGGAAAAATTCTGGTAACACTGTTAGTCTTCCCTATGTAGGTAGTATTCAAGACAAAATCATTTCATATTCTTGATCAAAACCCAATATTTGTGCTTGTTATTGTGAGGTAATCTATTAGGCCCACAACTATGTTAAAAGCTTCAATACTAATATTAATAAAAGCCTAAACGTTTCATAGATCTCTAAATAAAAGAGAAAACATGCCTTATACAAAGACAAAAAAAATAAAAGCTGATTGGCCTGTATAATACAAAACGCTAAAGAACATAAGGTAAAATTAAGAACCCCATGTATAAAATGAGCAAATGAATGTAAATAAAGTACTACTGAGTATTTTCTGAAATTTTAAAATCTCTAAACAGAAGTTCATTAAAAAAGGTCAAATACAACAATGGCTATAATATATCCCCACCCCCCAAACATTTCATAAATGGCTCCAAGAACCAGATAAATAATATAATGTCAAACCATTCTCTATCATAAAATGAAAAACTAGTTGCTTCCAAGTCAAATGTCATGTAAGTTTGGAAAAGCTAAATTTAGCATATTCAATCTGAGAAAACATCATATAAGACATAGTTAATAGTTTGAAACAATGAGTTATCTTTGGTAATTTGCCAATTGTTTGTTTGTAAAACTGAAAGCAAATGAAACCTTTGCCACAGGCCAAATCCTTCCAAGCTAGTCAAGTATGAAGACTCCAATTTCAAAATGCATATCTAGAGAACTAAAGTATTTTCCCTATATAATTAGAACAAATGAAGCACTAGTGCTATATCATGACAGTATAAAACACGGCCAATATAGTTTGTCCCAGAAGATCCCCAAGCTTCACAGCAAGCAGGAAACTTTCCATTCTTAGTCTGGCTCTCATGATCTACATTTAGCAAAAGTGATAGTTTTCTTGAGCACATTTAGTAATAAATGTATTCTGAAATAAGCTTCAGAAAGATGACAGACCTTAACAATCTACTACAGTTTATGAAATAAATGATATTTAAAATTTCATCCTTACTGAAGTATAATTTCAACCTACAGGACATAATTTTTGACCAACAAACCTAAATGCATAGATACTAGCCTAAACTTTTCTGCTGCACTTCTTAAGAGATTTTGATTTCAAGTGAGAAGTTCAAGTATCTCTAGTAAATCCTCTTAAATATCTCCTAGCCAAATTAGGTGTTTAATTTAATGTTGACCAGGCATAAGCAAACCATGAGTAGTTTTGTCCATAAGCTTTCATGAAATAAAGGGGATTTACTAGAGTTGATCAGAAAGACCAGTCACCATCATTTGCTTCCTAAAAAGGTTTAAAGCAGTATCTGCAAAGAACAGAACTTAAGAGACTTAAAAAAATAAAAATAAATCAAAGGCAAATAGTTACTATAAGATTAATTTGTTTAGAAGAAAAAATTTAAAAGAGCTATATATTAAGATTTTACTAAATGTAAGTTCACATTAGTAACTTGGTTCATTTATTCAGATTTAGGGAGAAACTTTACCTTAATCCTTAAGAAGAAAATATAAATGTGGATTTATTTAAACACCCTTGATTGAGGCAGAGCCCTTGTAAATTGAAATAAAGGTCTTGAGATTAAAAGCAATTTATTAGGCATGCAAACCTTCAGTAGTTATAAAACAACTGGCCTGTACTCTTCAAAATAGTCAATATCATGAAAAAAAAAAAAAGAGCAGAGGACTATATATTAAAAGAGATTAAAGAGACATAACAACCACATGCAAAGCATTCACCTTGACAGAATCATGCATGGAAAACAGGAAAACCATTACCGGGACAACTGGGGAAATGTAAACATGAACTATATATCAGAGGACGTTTATTCAGAGTTAATATTACCTTTCTTTAGTGTGATAAAGATTATGGTTATAAAGAATTATGTCCTTATTCTTAGGGATGAAGTATCATGAAGTCTGACTACTTTCAAAGGTTCAAGGAAAAAAATGTTTACATATCTATATAAAGTAACGATTGGTACATGTAGGTAAGGGGAAAAAAAAATACTGTACCATTCTTTCAACTTTTCTTTGAGTTTGAAATTTTTCAAAATAAAAGTTGGAAAGATAGTTTTAAAAAGTAAAAGTTAAAAAAATAAAAGTTCAAAAGCAGCAAAAAACCTAACTTGGGAAGAAGCCATAAGAAAAAAAATTTGGAGCCCGGCTGGTGTGGGTCAGTGGTTGAGCATCATCCCATGAACCAGGTCATGGTTGTATTCCCCGTCAGGATACATGCCCAGGTTTCGGGCTCGATCCCAAGTAGGGGGCATGCAGGAGGCAGCCAATCAATGACTCTCTCATCAGAGGTGTTTTTCTCTCCCCCTCTTTGAAATCAACAACAGCATGCCCCCTACAGGGGATTGAGCTTGAAACCTCAGTGTGTGCTCTTACCAGTAATGAAACCAGTGACCTAGTGGTGCATGGGATGATGCTCAACCAATTGAACCACATGGGCCAGGCTTTTTCAGCTCAAGAGCTAGGCCTCAATTTTGGGATGATTTTATCTTTGAAATTAATATAAAAATTAGACCTTGTTTATAATGGACCTCACCCACCTTTCTGTCGAATTTTCTGAACCAAGGTATAAAAACACAAGATTAAATTCTATTGCTATAATGCTTTAAAATGACACTGGCACTAACCCTGTAGCATTGATCCTCTTCTACTTCTATCTCATTTCTGAATGTAGGAACCAACTCCCTGCCTTCAGTCCAGTACATCCCTCGCCTTCTGTCTGACACGATACAAGTTTTACTTTGTCCTGGCTCCTGCTGCCTACGCCTTGCAATGGATGTGACAGTGGGAGGTGTGTTGTACGAAGGAATTTTCTGCTCCCATTCCGAAATACAGGAAGCTACAGAGATGCTGCTGCAAGAGTTAGAGCGCCTATGTAGATGTGGCTGGCTCATGAGTTGCTGGCCGTTGGAAATCTGAGCAATAGAGTTACCAGAAAGCTAAAAAAATTGAAAAGAAATTAATGAGCAAGACTGAAAAACTGAGAAAGAATTCATTACTTTTCTATAATTTAACACATGAAGATAACATCATAATTATTTGTACTAAATTACTACAATTTTATACTAAATTTGTGTTTATACTAGATTAAAAACAAATAGATGTCTGAGAAATATAAGTAATATCAAACAAAAAACTGATTCTCATAGTGAGAGTCACCTAACCTATCCCTAAATTACTACACAACTACAAATAACTTACAGGTACTGGCGATGGAGAAACAGATCTTTGAGCAGCTTTTTCTCGATCCCGCTCCCGAGAGGGTCTCTCTGGCTTTTCAGTTTTGGGTTCAGTAACAATAGCCTTCAGTTGTTTCAGTTTTTCATCTTTCACCCAGAGCTTATTTTGCATCTCCAGTTGTTTAGCTGCTACTCGACGTTCCTATGGAGTATCAGTGGTAATATAAGTACATATACAAGTTCACCAGATCACTGTAACACTGTCATACAAACGATCGTTCTCCAGTTCTTCCTGAGGTAACTACACTTCATCATGGGCAGAGAATTCTGAGGCAGAATTTCAAGGGCAGAGAAAGGAATGAACTGAATAGGCAACTACTGCCACCACCACCAAAACCCTAACCCAGGTAGTCATTCAAAACACTACAATTTGAAGTAAGTCACCCGTTTCTGTGATAGCAGAGGGATGACACTCACGCATTCTTTCTCCCACTTCATTGTTGTTTCCGTCACCATGCCTTGCAACCTGGCTTCTAGTCTGCGTTTGTCAGAAAACTGTTGCTGAAGTTTCTGATTCTGGGCCTCAAGTTCCTGTTGCAGATTGCGCTTATCTTCTTCATAGATAGTAGTTGTCTTCTCTAAAATTTCAATCTGGAAGGCAGACCATTATGTTCAATAATTGGTATGTAAATATCTAGCTCTAAAACAATCTTTTATAATTTGTTTATGGCAAGCAGAATTGTGGAAAGAAAAAATCATGGATAAAGCATTTTCCTCTAAAATTTCACCTGAATTTACTACCTTAATTCCTAGAAATGACAACTTTTTAAACATGTTCCTCACACTGAAAGATGGAGTTATAAATGATTTAATGTAAAAATTATTTTCCCCTAAAATCAGGCCTAATATTTTTTCCTTCTCCTTATCAGCCAGGTCATCCTAACAGTCCAAATTCCCAAACACTGGACTGCTGCTTGGTTTGGCCCTAAGTCTAGTCACTGGGCCTGTGCTAGTGGAGGCTGGTCAATGTTGGAGGAAGATGTTGCTTTTTCTATATCCATCACTGCCTCAGATCCAGGGTCTCTGCACAGCTGACTACTGTGTTGGCAGCAAGAAGGGCACCATGTATTATACTGAGGTGTGTTGTATGAAGGTGGAGTCAGAACGGACTTGGTTCAGCAACCTCAGTAGAGTTCTGGCCAAGAAAGAATTCAGAGCCAACACTCAAACGATAAGACAGTTTATTTAGAAAGTCACAGAGGTAGAAGTGAGCAGTGGAAAAAAATAAGTTAGATAAAAGGGACCCTTGGAGCTTAGGAAAGACAAAGGTAAAGGTCACGGGGGAGGGGGAGGGGGGGCACGGGCGGGAGATGGGAAAGGAGCCGTAGTTCTCCAGAGAAGGGAGAGTGCCAGGCCTAAAAATTTTTAAAATTTATTTCATTATTATTTAAAAAAAATTCTTACCCGAGGATATGTTTCCATTGAATTTTAAAAAGAGACAAAGGGAAGAAAGGAGGGCAGAAGGGAGGGAGGGAGCGAGGGAGGGACATCACTTGGTTGCCTCTGTATGCCCCATGACCAGGATCGAACCTGCCACCTTTTGGTTTATGGGACTACACTCCAACCAACTGAACCACTCGGCCAGAACCTAAAATTGTATTTTTAAGGTTATTTTGGTTGAGATTAATTTCTCTCTAAAATGAGTGTTCCCGCCAGAACCGGTTTAGCTCAGTGGATAAAGCTTCGGCCTGTGGACTCAAGGGTCTCGGGTTCGATTCCGGTCAAGGGCATGTACCTTGGTTGCTGGCACATCCCCAGTTGGGGGCGTGCAGGAGGCAGCTGATCCATGTTTCTCTCTCATGGATGTTTCTGGCTCTCTGTCCCTCTCCCTTCCTCTCTGTAAGAAATCAATAAAATATATTTAAAAAAATAAAAAATAAAAAAAAATGAGTGTTCCCCCCAAATGATTCTCTATAAATAAGTGAACAAACATATATTGTCCAGTAATAAGTTAGAAAACCAAGCTATAATCAAAGCTAAGCTCTAGCCGAAACCGGTTTGGCTCAGTGGATAGAGCGTCAGCCTGCGGACTGAAAGGTCCCAGGTTCGATTCCGGTCAAGGGCATGTACCTTGGTTGCGGGCACATCCCCAGCAGGAGGTATGCAGGAGGCAGCTGATCGATGTTTCTCTCTCATCGATGTTTCTAACTATCTCTCTCTCTTCCTCTCTGTAAAAAAATCAATAAAATATATTAAAAAAAAAAAAAAAAAAAAAAGCTAAGCTCTACAAAGCCCTTTACACAGCTTATTTGATTGGGCCAGAGAACATCTTCTTCAACTGTTAACACCTAACTCATAAAATTAAAGAGTGTAACATCCCTTTTATGCTTTTCACTCATATTTCCTCTTTTTGGGGGTGGTAGGTTGAAGATTAGCAAATAACTAAGTGATAACTCTTAGCAGTATTTATAGACCTGGAGAGCATAAGGATTAAGTCAGAGAACAGTAGTAAATAGCCATTCTAATATTGTCAAAACCAACCTTATACTCTAAAGTTTTGGTTTTTTTCTCCAGTCGTTCTATTTCCAATTTTTGTCCTGAGATCACCTTTTCTTTTTCATTCAGTTTTCCTTGAATGGTGTTTTCTTTATTTGAAATACCCTTGTCAAATTCTTGCAACATACCTTTAAAAGTAAAAGCTGAAACAAAAGCATGCCGGTTTTGTTTATTCCAATTCCAAAATAACAAACACACTCAACTTTTTTAGCCAATACTATAAAGTCTTTCATTTTGCACTATGACATCCCAATCCTTATGGATAAATAGTTGGCTTTAAAACAACAAATACAAAACCAGAAATAACAGATTCATCCTAGGAACAGTTAGATCCAAATTGAATCTCTAGTTACCACTTACTAGATATGTAACTTGGGCAAGTTATTTCTCTGAGCACATTTCCTCATTTCAAAGTGGGAATTTAAATACCACTTATCTCATACTTTTTTTTTTGGTGAAGATGAAAATGAATTGATGATGGTGCTAGAAATAGATATATCACTGAGCATTAACTATGTACCAGGCTGTTTACTCTTCTACATGATTTTTATAAATTATCTCACAACACCCTCTGAAGTAGAACAATTACAATCCCCATTTTTCGGACAGGGAACTAAGAAAGAGAGGATTAAATAATTTGTCCAAAGGTACAGTCATGAAGTGCCTTGCAAATAAGTAGTAGGAACTACAAGTAGCTATTATTCCTTTGTGTACATCACTTGTTAGTTTTAAAATGGGAGACAATACACACCAATTTTTTCGTTTGCTTTACTTTCTTTGAATAAAAAAAAAAGCCATGGGAAAAGTTCCTTGTCAGTCTAATTAAACAATGCCTTGAGCACTACAAGTGCAAAGAGAGACAAAATAATCCTTTCTTAAAGATCCACCCCAGTACAAAACTCAGATTCATTGCAAATTTCTAGAGTTAAAATGATTGTAAAAGGTTTTGGCCTTACATTGTTTGGTAAAGTCATCCATCATCATTTGTCGTAGCTGATGGCGTTTCTCTAATGCTTCAATAAGCCTTGGGAGAGTCTGCTCATCATTGATATCCAAAATCTCGCAGGACGGCAAGGGTGGAAAACTCTGTAAGACCACTTCTGTAACCAACAGTTCTGTATTGAATTATAAAAAATTTTTTAAAGTTACACAGCAGAGAAAGAACTTATTTACACAAGTTTAACACTGATTAGAGCTCCAGTCCAATTAACTATTTTCTTGAGTTGTTATAATCATACTTTTAGCTGTAAAAAGAAAACCAGGAAAAGTTAAAAAATATGAGTTATCATATGTAACAAAAGAAGTCTCATTTATATACTACTGGTTCAGATTTCTTTTTGCACTTGGTGCTTTAGGGTAAGGGAAATGAACAGTTTTCTTATGTGAAATAGATTAAAAAGACAGACCAATCAGTGGACAAATAATCTGATTCCAAAACATACCATCTCCAACTGGACCTGCCCGAACGTGGTTCCTGTATCGCCGTCCAGGTGTTAAACCACATATTGCCTTGTCTACTGGTCTTGCTACTTCAACTTCCTGGGTCACTTCTGCAAATCTCATGACTTGCTAAGACACAAAACAAATGGAAGTGTTTTTGTTTGTTCTTGTTTTTACAAATAAACATATCCAAGTCCTGCCTCAGAAATTACTATGACACAATATTAAATTGGCCATCAGCTCATTTCTGTAACTGATGGTTCTGCACCAATTTTTTAAATGTTCAAAATGTCATTCTTCACAGATAGTTGTCACAGAGTTGTTTTCTCTGTAGAAACCTGAGACTGTACAGGATAAATACATTAAAATTACCAAGCTTTCTTCATAATCTTCAGCCTTTGGATTCACACACACGATCATGCGTACTTTTCCTTCCCCATCAAAGTAGTTCTTGAACAGATGGGTTAACTTTGAATCCCGATATGGAACCATCTATAAATACATTCAAATCCAAATAAACATGTAAGGCAAAAAAGGCACACAAATAAACTATACAAATGAAAGGCTGTTGCTTACCTTG